TATGATCTGTATGACAGTGGCCATGTCGCAGGCCATATGTGGCACGCAGCTCACCCGTTGTGAGGCAGGCGGCACTTAAACAGGCCTGCCTCATCACAGGTCTCCAGATTGCCAGTCCGGGCCTGGGTACAGGAGAGCGTAGAGTGAGGGTCATTGTCCACTAGTTTAATAGGATGTAACGATATACCGAATATCGCCGGTATCGCGGAGTAAACTAAATGTCCCAATAACGATCGTGAGACTGGCAATAATACTACCGCGATTACAAAAAAAAAATGTAAACACTTTTTTTTTTTTTAAACCTTTATTTAACCAGGTGGTTCCATTGAGATCTTTTTCAAGAGAGAACTGTCCAACATGGCAGCAAGTAGGATTACAACATGAACATAAAAACAACGAACACAAAAGGACATCATATTTAAGGGGGGTCTACATTTACATACCTAGAGACATTGACAAACTACAACAGTTATTTATATCTCGCCCTGTCAATAAGCCTCACCTTCTTTGGCAAAACTGTAATTTTGTTTTTGAAGTTGTGATACACAATGCCACAGTTTGACCCACTGCTGTCACCCATGGCCAAAGCATATCTCTACCGGTCCACTGAGGTGGCGTTAGACTTTTTCGGCTGTCCGTCATTTTGACAGACAGGATCGTAAAATATCCACCATAATTCATTATTTACCCGCGGGTCTGAACTCGCCACTAACGTTGTCGCGCTGACACGGGGGGGGGACGAAGAAGAGAGCACGCCGTGAATGTCAACTGGGGGGGGGCGGTGTTATGCATGTTGTGCATGGCCCACCGAGACTATGCATGCACCTCGAGGGAGCGCGGCCACAGCGTAAATTAAAACTCCCAGACATTTAATGATCTGTACGGCAAAGTACGGGTTTTGGAAACTATGTCATTTTCCTTTTGGAGGGCATGCAATAACACGGGCATACACCAGAGGCCCACTGCGGGAAACTTGGCGCTGTTTCCGAGTTTGTTCTAATCGTCAAAAGATGACAGATGCTTTCAGATTTTTGCGTCATTGTTGAAGAAAAAATATGTCGGTTAACGCGGGACACTGCTGTCCCAGCAACATTCAGTACCAAGCGAGAGAGTTTTTTCCACAGCAGGGGATGATTGTAAACGCCCAAACATCCCAGCTTCTACCTCGAATGTGGACTGCTCATATTCCTAAAAACCTGTCTATGACTGCTGAGTGAGTGACTTAGTGAGTTTGAGTTGAGTTACTTGAAACTAAAGTGAAATTTCATTTATTTTATTGCAGGGTCTTGATTATAATGTCTTTTTATTTTGTGAGTTTGCAGGTGTCACAGTGTTTTTTTAAGTACTAGTAGGTACAAAACATGGTTTTCTTGTCCAGTTTTACTGTTACTTTGTGTTTGACACTTTAAAAATACTGCTATCCCTACTTAAAATGCTCTACAGAATCAGATGTATTATTTAAAAAGAACATTTTGTTCCAAGTAAAACATTTTAGAATTATAAAAAAAATTTAATTTTTTTTTTGCTCTTTATTATTCAATATCACGTAAATACCGTACGTGACTTGTTTCGCAATATTCTATCGTTACCGTGAGTTTTTGGTATCGTTACATCCATACTAGTTAATCGATTGCAGGTGGTGGTCGGACCTAAAGGGGTAGCGACCAACTCATACCTTTGAGCGGCCGCTAGTATACCTGGGCGTGCCCGCCCAAGTAAAGTCTGTGTGTGGAAACCTGGCAGTGTTTCTTGAGTTGTCTGTTCACTTATGTTAATACCCGTGCCTATGCAAGTACTGATGTATATATATTTATATTTTAGTCCAAGCTTCAAGTAAAAATCGATGAACCGCTGCTTGTTCTGTGTTGCCGGAACTGGACCCGAAAGTACATTGAGCTACAATGAAAAGTTTTGGCAAGAATTCTTCTCCATTCCCCTAGGGCAGGGTCCCCAATTTTCAGCCGCGACCCCCAAAATAACCAGTGCCAGAGATTGGCGACCCTGTCGACGGGGGGGCAAGCTATTAAACAGGCATTACACTGTGCCTTGTTTTTTATTTTTTAGTGTAGTGGAGCCTCACTTTAGAGCGTTTACCGTGACCATCTTTGCTGTTATGAAGTGGACTGAGCTCGTGAACTGTCTACGGCAGAGGGCGGGGAGAGCCTCGCTGCGGGGCAACTGTGCGACCTCTGTCGCCTGTCAGCGCAAACCTCTACATGATTGTCGTTTAAAAAATTAAGGGCGGTGCCAGCTGTCAGCGTACCGAGCCGGCCGTCAACGGCCCCAGCGACGACCGCGGACGGACCGCGCGCGGCCGTTCGCTGATTCTCCAGAACACACAGATGGCCAGCTCCGCCCTTTACCCTGTATTCCACCGGGTCACTGCGGCGCAGACGGACCCGGTGGAATACAGGGGTCTACCGCGTTTAGCGAACGTTAAGCAGAACCAAATTGTGTATTTTTGTATGTGGGTACCCGGTACCCGGCATTTTCTTATCGGTTTCGTCAGCTGGAACCGATAAGAAAATGGCCGGGTACCGGTGTACCCATAGCAAAATACACATCTTATTGGTTATCTGCTTATACGGTTCCTAAACGCGGGGGGGGGGGGTGACCTGTATTCCATCCGGGTCCGTCTGCGCCGCAGTGACCCGGTGGAATACAGGGTAAGGGCGGACTGGCCATCTGTGTGTTCTGGAGAATCACAGAACGGCCGGTCGTCCGCGGGTCGTCCGCGGGCCGTTGACGGCCGGCTCGGTACGCTGACAGCTGGCACCGCCCTTAATTTTTTAAACGACATCATGTAAGTTGCGCTGACAGGCGACAGAGGTCCACAGTTGCCCCGCAGCGAGGCTCCCCCCGCCCTCCCGTAGACAGTTCACGAGCTCAGTCACTTCATAACAGCAAAGATGGGTCACGGTAAACGCTCTAAAGTGAGGCTCCACTACACTAAAAAATAAAAAGACAAGGCACAGTGTAATGCCTGTTAATAGCTTGCCCCCCCCGTCGACAGGGGGTCGCCAATCTCTGGCACTGTTATTTTGGGGGTCGCGGGCTGAAAAGTTTGGGAACCCCTGCCCTAGGGGACATGGAGAAGAAATCTTGCAAAACTTTTCATTTAGCTCAATGTACTTCCGGGTCAGTTCGGCAACACAGAACAATGCAGCGGTTCATCGATTTTTACTTTGAGCTTGGACTAAAATATAAATATATAACATCAGTACTTGGCAATAGGCACGGGTTTCACATAAGTGAAAGACAACTCAAGAGAACACTCCAGGGTTTCCCACACACAGACTTTACTTGGGCGGGCGCCCAGGTATATTAACGGCCGCCAAAGTATATTTCGCTACCCCTTTAGGTCGACCACCACCTGCAATCGATTAACTAGTAGGGATGTAACGATACCAAAAACTCACGGTACGATAATATTGCGATAACAAGTCCACGGTACGGTATTTATCGTGATATTGAATAATAAAGAGAAAAAAAAAATTAAATTTTTTTTATAATTTAAAAATGTTTTACTTGGAAAAATGTTCTTTATTAAATAATACATCTGATTTGTAGAGCATTTTAGTAGGATAGCAGTATTTTAAAGTGTCAAACACAAAGTAACAGTAACAGACTGGAACAAGAAAACCAGTGTTTTTGTACCTACTAGTACTAAAAAAAACACTGTGCCACTGCACCTCACAAATAAACAAGGACATTTAGTAATCAGACCCTGCAATAAAATAAATGAAGTTTCACTTTAGTTTTTCAAGTAACTCAACTCAAACTCACTAAGTCACTCACTCAGCATCATCAGACAGGTTTTTAGGAATATGAGCATGTCCACATTTCCAGGTAGAAGCTGGGATGTTTGGGCGTTTACAATATCCCCTGCTGTGGAAAAAACTCTCTCGCTTGGTACTGATGTTGCTGGGACAGCAGTGGTCGCGTTAACCGAATATTTTATTTAACAATGACGCAAAAATCTGAAAGCAGTCTGTCATTTTGACAGATTAGAACAAACTCGGAACAGCGCCAAAGTTTCCCCGCAGTGAGGCTCTGGTGTTATGCCGTGTTATGCATGCCCTCCAAAAGGAAATGACATAGTTTCCAAACCGTACTTTGCCGTACAGATCATTGAAATGTCCGGGAGTTTTTGCTTTGCGCTGTGCACCTCTCGCGAGGTGCGTGCATATCTCGGTGGGCATGCATAACACGGCATAACACGCAGACTCAAATCAGGTTTTATAATTTTTTGTGTGATAGAGATTATGCAATGTTTTTGGTGTTTGTTGATTGTTATGTACCTGCCTAAGGACCAGAGTTCCCGTTAGCCGGTAATTACCGGACTACGACCAGTAAAATATGCTGAAGACCTGCAAATCTAAATCTCTCCGGTCAAAGTGTCGGTTCAAAATAATTTCCGTTTAGCGCAATACCGCATCACTGATGTGACAGACAGAAGAGTATGTGACAGACAAGAGTAGTCAATTCTAATGTCTAACACTTAATGTGGAGAAAGAGATGTCCTGTCTGGGTTGATTGTGCGTTGATCTGTTGGTAATGCCTCGGGGTTCCGGTGGGCATGTAAACAAATGCATAATGCTGCGCTATACTTTGTGGCCTCACCCGGTTGCATAGCGACGCTTATTGTTGAGGCGTCTTTTAATAAGCAGGTAGTCATATCATTAGCTAGAACTAGCTGGATCTGATCGATATGGACATAAACGCAAGTCTAATCTGGCGGGAGAGAGAGATCAGCCGGTGAGCGGAACAAAACACACTTCAGGTTAGAATAGCACACGTAGCTATTTTAACTACCTCTCAAACTACCTAAACTAGTTATAGGTATGTTTATTTTTACTGTCGGGTCACTCATTACTGATCAGCGAGCTGCATGATACTGACGGGCTGTCAGGAGAGGGAGAGAGCGCTCCGTTTATTATTCCCGTGTTATTATAAGTTACTGTACACTTTTGAATAATGTAGTTAATCTACTATAATTAGTGTGTTTAATATCGAATCATATCAATTTGTTTTAAAGCTGAATAAATAACNACAGAGCTCTGTTTGTTCAAAATTACAACGACTTCCGGTCCGCTCCCGGCACGATGTCTTGTCATGTCACCAGCTAGCCCTCTAGCGTTTTGCCGCCATATCGTGACACTACCTGGTGTGCCAGGTTTCTACACGGACCACTATTGCGGTAAGCATGTTGTAACTTCCGGTTGTTGTTGTCATCTCCGGGTATCCCGTGTGCCTGTTCTGTTGCTGATAGCTTATTATCTTAACTTAATCGATCGTTTTAAAACTCTTGATCACGGCAACTGCCTGACGTTGTAATCACACGTTACTACAGCTTAAGCACTCACAAACTCTCCTTCTCTTAGGGACTGTAACTCCACAGTTGCCTACACTCTTTTCGGGTTTGCTAACGGTAGCTACTTTAGCTTGATAGCTAGCCATGGCTCTTTCCCCACCCTCGGGTGCTATTTTCTGCTCTAACTGTCTCATGTTTGGTTACTTCCCTACCTCCTTTACTGGTACCGNATAGTGCATTGATGCTCATACTACATCAGGGTTGTCCAAACTACGGCCCGGGGCCAAATTGTACTTCTTGAATATACAGATCTGCGCTTTTAGTCACACGGTGTGACTAAAAGCGCAGATCTGTATATTCAAGAAGTACAATTTGGCCCCGGGCCGTAGTTTGGACAACCCTGATGTAGTATGAGCATCAATGCACTATTGATGTGTGAAAGGGGTTTGGTTGCACTACATTGTAAAATGTCAAAATAATTAAAAATAGTTTTAAATAAAAAAGCCTGAAAAATATTTAAAAGCATATTTATTCAAAATAAGTGTTATACTGTAACAACAACATAACCATTGATGTATTAAGAGATTTTGATAGCACTACATCTTTAAAAAAATGAAATTATTGAATTTTTCTGAGTATATATTTTTCGGGGTTGCAGTTTGTAGACTAAGCACTCCTCCCTCCTCCAGCTGCAGATTGTGACCAATTCTTGATCTTTAGCTGGGGTGACGGCGTGCCTCTAACTGTTCTGATAAACGACTCTGTAGCTCGTTGTCTACCTTGTTATGATTGTAAAGTCATGTTGTTTGTAACTCAGCTCAGAGTAGGCTATGCTTTGCGACGTGCATGTCCCCTCGCTCTGAGTGTTCTCTTGGGGTGTCTTTCACTTATGTGAAACCCGTGACTAATACCAAGCACTGATGTTATATCTTTATATTTTAGCCCAAGCTCAAAGTAAAAATCGATTAACCGCTCCATTGTTGTGGTTTCTGGGTTTCTGGGTTGCTGAAATGAACCGGAAGAATATTGAGCTAAATGAAAAGTTTTGCGAGATCTCACAAAAGTATTGCAAGATCTCGCAAAACAAGATATTTTTTAACCAATTATTTGTTTCTTCTCCATGTCCCCTAGGGGGCTCCGTAGAATAGTCCCCACTTCAAACTCTGCATATAAAAATGGCCTCAAGCTATTTTTCTCTGGATATGGCAACCCAGGAGGGACAATTGAAATTACAGAATAGATGACAACACACATGTGAAGTAAAGGCATTCCCTAATAATGAGTTCAAGCAGAGATCAGACTGTGACATGAACTCTCTGTTGTTGAATGACTATAGCTTTGGGTGATTTGTTTTTCCACGTCTTAAAGGTCTCATGACATGCTTTTCCGGTTGTTACCCGTCCCCTTGTGTGTTATGTAGCTTTTTATGCATGTAAACGGTCTGCAAACCCTCAAAGTACACCCTGTAGCGAGTAAAACTCTAACACAGAAAATACATGTCTATGCTGCCCCAGAACGCCTCGTTTGAGATTTTTCTTTTTCCATTTTTTTCTTCCTGGTCATAGTGACGCACTCACTCAGCCTTATCTTTTCTCAGCCGTGGCTCCGTGGAACTCAGCCTGAGCACACACGCCACGGCTCCGCGGATCTCCGCAGTGTCTCGCTGTCTCGCTGTCTCGCAGACCCCACACAGCANTACAGCACTTTGGCTCGGCCAAAAATCGTTTATAAATGTGCTATATAAATAAAACTTGATTTGATTTGATTTGGCTGTGTGAGGCTGTGTCACAGGCATATGTCTCCTCTGGGGTGGAGCCCCCGGAGAACATCAATGCGCACTCCACCAGAGGAATGTCCTCCTCCACGGCTTTGCACGGAGGAATGTCAGTAGAAGACATTTGCACTGCTGCATCTTGGTCTTCCCCCTGTTCATTTATTCAATTGTATTTGAGTGATGTCTCCCATTCCTCTCTGACACATTTTGTACGGAGTGTCTTGTCAGAGTGAGTGACGTCAGGGATCCAGCTGTGCGCCTCTCTCCTAGCTCTCGGCAGGCGGAGAGCGGCCCTTTTTCCCTCTTATGAGAGGGATGTTTCCTTTTTTTCCTCTGACACATTTT